CTGATAACGCCTAACGACCAGACTTAATATAAATAGCACCGACTACTTGTCAATTACATTGCCATAAATGGTTGTTAAATACAAAATTAAATTTAAAAAACACCTATATTTTGATCTAAAAATGTCAAAATTGGATAAAATATTGTATACGCCTCGTGAGTTAATTAATTTTTATTCGCTCGGAAGAAATTAAGATCGCTCGCTTAGCGGCTCGCGATCTAATTTCTTCTCGCGATTAAAAATTCATTTAACTCACTTGGTGTATAAATATCTATTATATCACTTGAGAAATAAAAATCAAGTAAAACATTGGAGAATAGATGCCTCTTAATAGGAAAAGAGTAGAAATTTGGAATTTAAATATAGTTAAGGTAATTATTGCATAATTATAAATATTGATATGAAAACATTATTTTAACTTACTTTAAAAGTAACCATAAAAGTATCCTTTAAAGTATCCGAAAAAAGTATCCGGATACTTGTATCCGAGTACTTTTGAGGTGAAAGTATCCTAAAAAGTATCCGGATACATTGTAAGTATCCGTATCCGATACTCGGATACTTTTTTCCTGTATCCGACCCAACTCTGGGGGTTACCTGCTCTTAATTTTACTTTTTTGATAAGAAAATAAGAAAAATTAATTGCAAATTAAGGGTGATTACCTAATGCAGCGCCTCTGATAATTAAGTTGTGTCTGTACTTACTTATGATATTATCTTCAAGAAGCATTTTCAACAGGCCTTTTACATATAAAGCATGGTTTCACCATATTATTAGAGATAAGAAATCTTAAATATACATTTACAACCCTTACAACGCTATAAAAAATTATATTTTCTCTAAAATACAAATAAAAAATTGATGTGTCAGAACTGGCGCTGTCAAACTTGGCAACGCTGATTAAATAAGCCAATTACAGGAGAAAGATTTCCCCCTCGGGGGGAGTAGATGTTGCTAACAAAATATAGCGCGAGGAAGGGGGGAAGACTCCTTCTAGTAGTAATTGCTCGAAGGTTGCCATAATGTTGCCATATCATAACCTGTCAAAACTCACTGGTTGCCGTTTTGTTTGGAATACCTAATTGTTATTAAAAACTCATACATCGAAAAAATTAAGGTGTATTCATAAATACAGGACCATAAAAAAGGAGAAATTTTTAAAAACAAATCGGCGATAACTCGTAAACGGGCTAATCAAAAATATCTAAAGTTATTATTTTAAATGTGGGTTTTAGTGCTTTTTAATAAAACTAATCTCTAAAATAATTAGAAAAGCCAATAATTGACCCCATTTAGAATTACATGTTAGTTTTTATGTCCCTTTTGACGAAGCAACGCCCGGAGTAGTTATATAGATTGCTCAAAGCGGGTCGATTTGCGAGCGACCATATTGCTTCGCAAGTGCTCAATAATCAGAATCGGTTTAGCAAAAATATATTTTAAAAGCCATTTTCAGTCTTTGGATATAGTAAAAAAAAATAATAACCTACATTGTTACTCTAAATCATAAGCTTATGTTTATTTACAAAAACATATATAATTATTCCATATTCTATGTCATTACCCATTGTCAGCCATTTTGTTTCGAATGACAAATTTTTTATGATAGCAACATTTTGCGCCCTTCTTAATATCGCTAAGTTAAAATTTGGTTAAAATTACGGAACGTTTATATGGTACGTTAATTTGCTTTCCTCACTACAGTAGAACGGTAAACGGTAAAGAAACACTACAGCATTGTTTAAAAAAAAAAAAATAATAATAATAATAATAGGCAGACTGCAATATAATGTAGTATCCTATTTTTGTCATCGAAAGGACGTGGTTTAACCAATAGCTCTCTTTATACATCTCACCTTCAAATATAATTAAGCGTCTCATCTTTATTATGCAGGTCGAGTTGGCTTGCATATTATATATCTCCTATGTTAGGATTTAACTTCTTTTAATTTTCCGTCTATTCACAAAAATGTTAAAATAAACGAACTTCAGTTTTGTGGGACATAAGACAAGCGGAGTTTGACATATGACGTACGTTATATCACATATGACAAGAGACCGAAGCGAATAGCGGAACGTAGCATAACTTCTCAATTTTTGTAGAAGGATTCTTCTACAATACTGCTTCTAGATTTCATGTGTCTATTACTGAAAAAAAGTCTATTAGTTTTATACTGAAGTTGATTTTACTTTTTTTTATTTAGCAATATATTTTAACTTGCTGTTGCTCGCAGCTTTGCTCATGGCTTTGCTCGCGACTTTGCTCGCATGTAGTCGAGTTATTATTATAAAAATACATGACTTCCTTTTTGATTATTTTTATTAGTTTTATTGATATTTATTAATTTTTATTCACATTTATTTATTTTTATTCATTTTTATTCATTTTTATTCATTTTTATTCATTTTTATTCATTTTTATTCATTTTTATTTATTTTTATTCATTTTTATTCATTTTTATTCATTTTTATTCATTTTTATTCATTTTTATTCATTTTTATTCATTTTTTCATTTTTATTCATTTTTATTCATTTTTATTCATTTTTATTCATTTTTATTCATTTTTATTCATTTTTATTCATTTTTATTCATTTTTATTCATTTTTATTCATTTTTATTCATTTTTATTCATTTTTATTCATTTTTATTCATTTTTATTCATTTTTATTCATTTTTATTCATTTTTATTCATTTTTATTCATTTTTATTCATTTTTATTCATTTTTATTCATTTTTATTCATTTTTATTCATTTTTATTCATTTTTATTCATTTTTATTCATTTTTATTCATTTTTATTCATTTTTATTCATTTTTATTCATTTTTATTCATTTTTATTCATTTTTATTCATTTTTATTCATTTTTATTCATTTTTATTCATTTTTATTCATTTTTATTCATTTTTATTCATTTTTATTCATTTTTATTCATTTTTATTCATTTTTATTCATTTTTATTCATTTTTATTCATTTTTATTCATTTTTATTCATTTTTATTCATTTTTATTCATTTTTATTCATTTTTATTCATTTTTATTCATTTTTATTCATTTTTATTCATTTTTATTCATTTTTATTCATTTTTATTCATTTTTATTCATTTTTATTCATTTTTATTCATTTTTATTCATTTTTATTCATTTTTATTCATTTTTATTCATTTTTATTCATTTTTATTCATTTTTATTCATTTTTATTCATTTTTATTCATTTTTATTCATTTTTAATTATTTTTTTTTTAATTTTAATTAATTTTTATAATACTACCATACAAAAATCTAAAAACCACAGAGAACGTCATTATTTATTTATGCTACAATTATAATTTTCAAGTTTCAACGTTCAAAAAATTTATATTTCTATACAAATTTTCACCCCTGTTTTTGCCCCTTAAATGATGAAAATCCAAAAACCATAAAACACATCATTATTGATTTCTAATTAGTAACTCTAATTAAAATTGTTATGTTTCAAACTATAAATAACAAAAAAATATATATATACTATTAAACAAATTTTCACAACCCATTTCCCCCCTTAAAATGTTAAAATGCAAAAACCATGAAACACTTCATTATTTATTTATGATGAGAACCTACAATTCGAATTTTCAAGTTCGTACCTTTAAAAAAAAATCGATATTTCCAAAAAACCTTTCACCTCCCTCGGTCCCCCCCCCCCCCCCCCTTAAAATATGAAAATCCCAAAACCCTAAAACACATTATTATTAATTTGTACTCATTAGCTGCAATTCCAATTTTCATGTTTCTAACTTCAAAGAGAAAAAAACTATACTTCCATATAAACTTTCACCCCCCGTTTGCTTTCCTTAAGATATAAAAATATAAAAACTCTAAAACACATTATTATTAATTTGCACTCGGAGCTGCAATTCCAATTTTCCTATTTCTAACTTCAAAAATCGATACTCCTATACAAACCTTCAACTTCCGTTTGCCCTCCTTAAAATGTAAAAATCCAAAAACCCTAAAACATGTCATCATTGATTTATGCTTAGTAGCTGTGATTCAAATATTCATGTTTCTAACTTCAAAGAGAACAAAAAAATCGATACTCTCATATAAACTTTCACCCCCCGTTTGTCCCCCTTAAAATGTGAAACTTCAAAAATCCTAAAACACGTCATTATTTATCTATGCTCAGTAGCTGTAATTCAAATTTTCATGTTCCTAACTTCAAAGAACAAAGACTTTCATAAAAAGTTCTCTATCCTTAAAGTTGAAATTTTTAAAAATCCTTGCTTAGTGAATGCTTACGTTATAAAATAAACCTGTGTTCCAAATTTCAGCTTTCTAGACTGAGTAGTGTTGGCTGTACGTTGATAGGTCAGTCAGTCAGTCAGAACAAACAATTTTATATGTATATAGGTTTTCCATTTATAGGAATATTTTAGATGACAATGTTTGAGAAATACTTTATATTATTACATTTATGTATCTTTCTATGTTTGTTTAATATAACATTTAAAAAATAGTTATGTTGATTATGGCTTGGGGGGGTAATTACCTCCATTACCCCTTCTTATCTACCTTGCCATTCACTCACTTTTAATAAATTGTTGTTTAGGCAACTCTGGCACTGAACCACTCTATAAAAGATTTGCCTATAAGTATCATGAAAGTTAAAAGAAATCTCTAGAAATTTTTAACAACCACAATCTGTGTGATCTACTGCCCTCCCTTATTTCCACATTGCGAGTAGGAAAACATCCTTTGCCTGATTCCTACTCGACTATAAAACATATCCGGCAAAATCGTAACAAAACATGTAGATACCGAAAATCTTTTATAATAATACAATTCCGCGTTATCAATGATACCCTACGAGCCATCCTCACACCCGAGTAATTCCATTCTTGTTTCCATACACAGTTATATTGTTGTATAATGCATGCACGCTACATTTGAGCATTATAAATAAGAAAAATGTAAAGCAGTAGTTGAGTAGTAATAAAAAACGTTTGGATCGTTTCCAGAAGCAAGAACGATTCTGGGTAGGAAGAGAACCGAAGTTTACAAATCAACTCATGCCTTGGACGTCTTGACAAGGTCCCTGTCAGAAACACTAAGGGTCAGCCAGGAATCCAGTTTAGCGATTATACGCAATGTGGTTAATTTGGATTTCTGGAGATGGCTTTGTATTCTAGGTTTGTATATTGTATCATTTTTTTATGAAAATAAATTACGAGGAGCAATTCCCAAATTCACGGAAAATGTAAAACAAATAGAATAGAAATAATTTATTTCAAATTTCAGTTGTATGGAAAACTTTAAGATAACTTGTACTCTGTTTTTTTTTTTTAATTTGAACTGAAGGTGGCTTCGGAAATTTGACATATTTTACTTTCTATAATACTACGATTGTTTACATTTACAATCTTTTTAAACGTACAAAATATCACTAATATATGACAACAAAATATGAGTTAGATAATTGATTTTAAACCAATTTCGGATATAAATGGATAATATATTATGAATATATTTGGAATGTTCTAAAAGAGGCTGTAAGATTTAATATTTCCATTAAGTCATATTAAGATAGAAAGTGTTAGTGATATGTGTGCTCTTTAAATAAAAGGGGGTGACTGAATCACAATTTATATAGATTATTATTGTAGTTCATTAACGAAGACGGGATTACACTATGTTCCAGAGGGTTCATCAAGATATAGTTTTTCACTAAGCTTTCCTTCATGTTAGTATTTTAGAAGTGTTACTCATGTATAATGCAAAATTTTTATTTTTATTGTTGCGCTGATTTTTGATATCTCAATTTATTTCAACTAAACTTTTACAACAATTTAATTATACAACCGATAACATTAACGTATAACTTCTATCATAAAATTCTTCCCCGACGGCAGGATCGCCGACTGATAAAGCTCGCTTTAACCTTCTAGAACCTTCCCGAAACGTCCAGAAGTTTCTTAACATAGAATGACATTCTCCCTTCTTCTTTTACTCGCATCTTTTTCAACCAGCACACTTCTCTTATAACCTTTAAATTATAGAACATTCAATTCTTATAAAGGTTTTATAGTTGTTTCAGAAATTCAATATTGACTCATAAATATAGCAAATAATGCAGTTTAGCTGTTGAAAACAAAATAGCACCATAATATTGTTATATAAATATTCTTACAGCATATTTATTATATTTTATAAAATTTTCTTATAAGAGATACTCAGTATTTCTTAACAACAACATCAACAACTATAAGTCGTATTTTTAACACCAATTTCTTTTTTAAGGCTTTTTGATTTATAACGGTTTTATATTTGTCTTTAGTAACATTTTAAAGATAAGTATAAATATAAAAACGTGCAAATTTATAAAGCATGCTGTTTGATATAACAATAAGATACATTGATTATATATTCAACACTTATAAGGGAAGTCGCTTTATTTTCTTGTTAAGGCAATTTGTACAAAATTGTTTCAACAAACATAAAATACTCTCATTGCCACTACAAAGAACTATATTTAAGAGAGCAAACATAGCAATTACATAGTATTCTTTAAATGTCTTTATTACTGCTGTATTAGTAACACTTAAAAAACATCAATGAGGTAAAATGCTCTCAAAGAACTCAGAAATATTCCTGCCGCTGCTTTAATAGAGCCAATTTAAAACATTTCATTATTTCTATTTTAACACGTTATTGGCTTGTTGGTGTTTGAATTAACAAAATGGACATCTCACGCTGGAAAAAGATTTAAAAAAAGAGGCGCATTTCGAAGAAAATTATAAACATGCAAATAAACACATTGAAATTCCAACTATCCTGGTACTATATTTTTTCAACTTTATAATTTGGCAAAATGCGTCTAAGTTATTTTACATTTGATTCGTCGTGGTTTATTCCTCTAGAGTAATATTTTGACTATAATAGAAACTATTAGTTCTTAAAGTCTGGTAATTATATTAAATTATGTTAAATAGTACAGAATTAGGTATACCCTCATAGACAATTTGCAATAAATTCTTGTAAATTATGGAAAAGTTAGACAAATTGCTTTGTTGTTGCTGTTTTTAAAGCCTAAATGTTTTATAAATGCTTTTGGTGCAACTAAAACTTTGGCCATATTTGAAATATAAAATACATGAAGGTCAAAAATAAAAAAAAAATTGTGAAATAATGTGTAAACACCAGATACTAAATTATTGCTTATTAGTAAGAATAATTTATCTAATGTTCCATTTATTAATACAATTTTACTTTCTTACATAAAAAAATATTTTTTATTTTTAACGTTCAATTGAATGTTAAGGGTGGGGACGTGAAAAAATCGCCATTAAATAGTATAGACTTTCACATTAAAGTAAACCTCAATGTACCATTTGTATCTGGGTTAAACGATAAGGTAATATATTTTTCTACTTTTTTGTCATGTCTCATAACTAAAGTATATTGCATAACTCTAAATTTGTCTTTAAAATACAATTTGAATCTGCTTTAATAAATCCTTGTAAGTATCTACAAATAAGAATTATTATATTTTGCGTCACTTAAAAAAAGAATTTATAAGGGAACTAAAACACTTTTTTGATTTATAATTTGGTGCCCAATTTAAGCTCACAAGAGTCGTATAAAGCCTGTAAAAATATCTGCAATTAAAATTCTGTCTCATTTTCATATAAACATTTGCTTTAATAATATTCTTACAGCTTTTATAAACCCATCATGTGCTACTTGGATTACTTATGACGATCGCAGCACACTTTTATTCCTACGTTTCCTGTAACAGCCGCAGGCTACGGCAGGGTGCTGGATAACATTGCTACCTCCTTTCTAGTTATTCGTTTCGAATAACTTGTTAACTGGGACCCGGTTGAAGCTAACTGGGAGGATCTGGACCATGATATGGCGCTAACTTTCCAATGTGAGCTACCGTGGGTTTACTTTCCGCTAACAGCTGAATCAGATCGTTGTTCTTTCTTAAGGCGGTGCTTTTGTTCCGTTGCAGTTTCCGACAAGGTGTTTCTACGCTCTGGGGATTGCATAGGCTTACTGAGTCCTCTCTCAAAATGTATTTCTGTGGCACGCAAGTCGGTTCTAGCTTTTGCTTTATCGCTGTTGGCATTTAGACGTTCCCAAACGAATCCCCAGACCTTTGGCATGCCATTACAAACATCATATTTTTTACACCAATCCTCTACATCCCGTCGGCAATTGACCCAATAAAATCTTTCCAGAACTCGTGCCTTTTAGTACCAAAATATCCTCCCGAACGGCTACTATGAAGCTCTGACATGTGATTTCGACAACCAATTGGCGGACTATATGTACTCCATCGGGGCTTTCCCACTTCCGGTACAATAGGCCATTGTAAAGCAACAGGGAATCCCACTGAGTCCAGTGCCCTTTAACAGCTCCACTCTATTTTCCAAGTAGGTGTGACTTTATTTTTAAGCCATTCTCGGACAATCCTCAAATCATTGTCTTTCTTCTGTCCTTTATCAGGCTTTCTAGGGCAATTTATTTTTCGTCGTCTTTGGCTTGATAGTGGTTGTCCGAAGAGTAACTTTATCAGCCGGTTCCTCTCGTTCTTTAAGCCGTTTACTGTAACGGCATTGTGATTCTAAACAGGGTCGCCTGGAGAGAATTTCTGCGTTACTATGGAGACGGCCTCATCGATGCTCTTCTTTCTGGGTATTGCTATAAAGCCGGCTAGGTGTGGGTGATCGGCTTCTCCGGGACACATAGCTGCAGTAATTATTTCTTGTTGTACTTCGTGAAGGGCTTTGGAAGATTGATTTTCCCCAACAAACAATAAATTGCCGGGATATTACTGGCCTTTTGCTGTAATTGAAGGGAAAATGATTGCGAGAATTAAAAGATAAAAGCCTGCTTTTGACCTTTCGATAGTGGCCCAGCATTATGTTGCTTGATGATGGCTTTATGAAGGGTAAGTAACTGTATTAGATAAATGGATTGTAAAAGTCAAAAGGCTTTTAACTGCCGCAGACCCAACTCCAATAGTCCAGGAGGGCTCCGTCCCGCGTTCATAGGTGGAGACACCGATGATCGCTTGTTACATACTCAACGAGTGGATATGTACTATGAGGCCAGTCTCTCATTGCTGGTATTCACTATTCAGTATTCATTGTAATTTTTTACTTTCACATGTAAATTTAGAATATTTTAATAATAATTTTTTTGAAGAAGACAATTTTTCTTTATTAATATATTATATAGCTGAATTAAATAAAATCTCTACAATATTCTACATTGAAATGCCTTCTGTTTCTATATAGAATGTATAGTTCAAACGGTACTACTGGTCAAAGAGGCACCATCGAATATCTTGTCTGATCATGTGCCTGACACATGGCCTTAATTAATATGGTAAAATATATTTTATTTCTAGATGTTAAAGAGGAAATGAAGGTCCATTAATTATGGCAAAGTGACTTTGGCCCGACTGTCGGCCGTAGTGACCTATATATGCATGATTTTTAATTAAAAAAGTCAGTTATTGGGCCTTTAATTCACACAAAATGTTTATTGGGTTGTGACTTTCTGTCCTCATTCCCTATTTCTCGATTTATAGAACGAGCCCTGCTTCTACAGGTTCGTTGAAGGTGCCCTATTCTTCCGCAATTGAAACACCTCCTGATTCCATTTTAGCTGTTTCCTTAAATATTTTGCAGGATATTTAAGATTTGTGAGAGGGTAGGTTGGGTAATAGTAATATTATTGTCCTCTTCACGTTCCTGGAATCTAATTTTTGCGCGAGAAGATCTGGATATGAGTGTTACTGCTTCATATTCAATGTTACGATGCTTTTTGATATCTCAATTTATTTCAACTCAACTTTTACAATAATTCAACTATACAACTGATAACAATAAAGTATAAAATCTATCAAAAAACGATCGCCGACTTATCTAGTTCGTTTAACCTTCTAGAAACTTCCCGAAACGTCCAGATATTTCTTATGACAACCTTAGATATGACAACCGCAGCACACTGTAGGATGATGGGTAACATTCTTTTTTTTAATTTTTACGCTTCCTATAACAGCCGCAGGCTACTGCAAGGTGCTGGGTAACAGTATTATACCTCTTAGGGTCGATCTTTTCATCTCTGAGTAAAGTTACTTGACAGATTAACAAACAACTTCCATATAATTTAATCA